AGGCCTTCTTGAAGTCTAAGTATACGACATCCACCCCTCCTCCTGTGTCCAGGCGTTTCATAACCTGGTCATAAAAAGAGACTAGATTGGTCAGGCACGATCTGCCTGCCACGAACCCGTGCTGGTTTCCCCTCAGCATAATTTGTCCTGCCGGGCTCTCGCATATGTGAGCCTTGATAATTTTTTCAAAGACTTTGCCAAGGATGGAGGTGAGACTGACTGGCCTATAGTTGCCCGGGTCCTCCTTCCTCCCCTTCTTGAAAATGGGGACCACATTGGCCCTTTTCCAGTCCTCCGGGACTTGGCCCATGCACGACGAGCGTTCAAATATTCCCGCCAGTGGCTCTGCAATGATGTCAGCCAGTGCCTTCAGCACCCTCGGATGGAGCTCATCCGAGCCTGCCGACTTCAAGGCATCCAGTTCTTCCAAGTGACTCTGCACCATCTCAGGGTCTACACATGGCAGCCTGGCGCCTTGCTGCTGTCTCTCTACAACCCCAGTGAGAGACTTGTCGTGCCCCTCGCTTAGGAACACTGAGGCAAAGAACTCGTTGAGGAGTTCAGCCTTGTCCCCTCTGTCCGTCATCAATTGTTTCTGCCCATTTAGCAGGGGTCCTATTCCTCCCTGGGCCTTCCTTTTACTCCCTATATATCTAAAAAACAATTTCTTGTTGTCCTTTACTTGGGATGCCATCCTCAGCTCCATGGTAGCTTTGACCCGTCTAACTGCCTCCCTACAAGCACGAGCAGAGGAGGTATATTCGTCTTTGGTAACATGATAGTCCTGACTGTTCTTGCCCTCATCTTAAAGCAGAGGGAACCAATCTTTGTGGCAGGTGTGTCATAAATTAACCCCGCACCCTCCCCAAGTGCCACTTTAATCCCGTTCCCTTGTCTGATCTACTGCTTTGCTTTCTGCTTCCAGCCCTGTTCTTCTTGACTGATCTACTGCTCTGCTTTCTGTTTCCCTGACTGATATTCTGCTTTGCTTTCTGCTTCCTGTCCTATCTACTGCTGTCTGTCCCCTCCCTAACCAGCTGCATGCTGCACACAGAGGCTGCTTATGCCACTTGTGGCACCTGTGCTGCACATTGGCCACACCTTTGTTAAAGGATCGTTTAAAACATACTAGTTCTTTTCTTCTTACGACCTGTTCTGAGGAGAACTGACGGAAGAAGTTTATCAGGGGGTCCAAAAATATTTGATTTGCCACCAGTTACTGAAACATTTCATGAAAGTTTAAAAAATGAACTAAACTGGGACCATTACTTAATGCAGGGGTGGGCAAAATGAGGCCTGCGGGCCAGATGTGGCCCACCAGGCCATTCTATTCGGCCTGCAGGGCCCCTAAAAAATTTAGAAAATTAATATTAATCTGTCCTTGGCTGCCTGTCTTGCGGCCCTCAATGGCTTGCCAAAACTCAGTAAGCGGCCCTCTGCCCAAAATAATTGCCCAGCCCTGACTTAACGGCATTGTGGAGGTTATGGTGGAGAGAGAAAAAATGATGTGATCAAATGCCTTCCTAAAAACAGCTGATTTCATGAAACTGAAAGCGCCGTTGATTTCTTGATGAACTATTAAAATTTCTCTCAAATTTATCTAAATAAAGGAGTCATGAATTCAGTAAAAAGGATTAAGGGTTCAAGGGTTCCAGAAATGGCAGAAAAGTGTGAGCAGAGTTATACTCTAAAGAGCAATTTCATGAAAAAGATCTAACCCTTTTTTCATCTACAGTCTTTGCTCCAGACACTCACCCTCTCTGGCTTTGTCTACATGGAAAATGAAGGCAATTTAAGTGAATTCACTTAAGCTAAAGCAAACCAAGGCCATTTAGCAGGACAGCTTTGTCATGCGTCCATTGCCTGTTATACTTTGAATTCTGTCTGTCCCAAATGGAAAGACTTAACATTTAAATACCTAAGAGCCAGAGGAGAGACCTGGACAGCATGGACACAGAATTGGAGTATATCTTTTTTAGTTTCTCACTACAGTGAGATACATTGCCAGACTGAAAGGGCTATTCCCCCTTACTAGTGAATGGGTGTCATTACCCCTTGGTTGTGTTAACCAGACTCAGAAGATGATGTATAAGGCTATATCTGAAGCACGGGACTGTTAAAATTATACTTACAAATCCTGCACAGTGTTCACAGAAAGTCGGCTTAAGATAGGTCATCTCCTGAAAGTTGTGAATAAATCCTGGTCCCATTTTACATTGTAGCTGTGATTTTGCTCTCAGGAAGTAGGCCATCATTTCTTCTTTGCTAATAAGACCATCTCTGTTAGAAAAATCATAGATCAAATCTATTAATACAGCATGCAACTGGGCATCATAGGATGCTCCTGCTGAAAAAAGTTATGGAATACAATATATGCACTGACAGCAATATATAAAAAAGGTGTCTGAGAAGCCAACCTTCCACTCAGAAGCTCTAAATTATCTTGTCCTTCCTTAAAGAACTAAAACTAAATTCATTGCCCTAGAGGCACTGCCTTCCCTCCTGGTGATCTCACTAATGCTAGGTTCCCTCTTTCTCATTCTTATGTTAAAGCACTCAGTTCATCTTCTTGTCAATTGACTTGGCAGGATTTTAAAGTTTACCGCTTCCTTTACTCCCCCCAGAATAATATCAATCAGTCATCCATAAAGACCTGTAAGGAAATAACACGCAGTGAATTTAGGAATTTCTCTCTATAAGAACATTGTTCTGGCTGGGTATGTACGTCTACCTGACCTACATAACAGGGAAGATGATTTTTCTGATGTAATTGTTCATCTAGCAATTACAGGTTTAACATGTTCTTTAAGCCAAGAGACATAGCCAGAATTTCAACAGGAAATATTTTAGAGAAGCTGTGCAAAGTAGGTGCCTTATTCTGTTTAGCAGAGAAAGAACTAGATCTTTAGGTCTTGTGGTCTACAGTTACTGAATAAACAGAGACCATCTGACTCTTAGCTAGAATAGCAATGGGTTTTATGGTATGTCCTAAAGGGACAAGTTAGACCTGCTAATCAGGAAGGTCTGGAGAAAGGACCACAACATGGCTTCAGTGCAGCTGAGTAATGAGGATGGCAAATAGATATGGTGTGTGGCTCTGTTCTGACACAAACACCATGATATGTATTTGCTTGTGTCAGTCAGTGTACCTAGATAGACCTTCCTTGTAGTTTTGGTTCTGATAACCTCATCCTGGATGTTGGAGTTTACTTTAAGGGGTAGGCTGGATAGAGAAACCAATCCAAGGTCTTGATGCACCCAGAAGAATGCAATGCGATATTAGAATTGGGGTTTCATTCATCTCCAAAGTTATGCCTTTATCTGTGGCAAGTAGAATAAGACCTCAGCATACACCACCTGGTACTTGGCATAATTGGGGCCTATGCTGGGCAGTCTGGGTGTAGTGATGAAAGGCTGCAGTTCTGAGGCATCCTGTGAAACACTCAGGGCCTGGCAGATGGCTCTGAGTTAGTAATGGCAGGGTCTGTCCTGAACCTGTCTTCTTATAAAAGCTGTTAATCCACCTTTAAGACATACCCTTTCATTGAGAATAGATGCACTAGGCCGTTCATTAGCAATGTGCTGGGTAGTGAGGTATTTTGCCTTGTATAATGATCTACGGTGTCTTTTTGTACATACCTGGTGCAAAGGGATACATTGTCCATGAAATCAAATCAAATCAAATCAAATCCTTTTAAAAAGCATCTCTGTCCAGTCTTAGAAAATTCAAAACATTCTGCTTGTAAATACTATAACACACCACAGCACATTCACAGCACACCACATTTAATTAATGATCATTTTTTCAGGAAAACAAGTGTGAAAAATGTCACCAGTTCATTTCACATTTCAAATCCTGAAATTTCACTGTTTTGTAACAAATTGAGATCATGAGCATGTTTCCGCATGAGACACGCAAAAAATCAGAGTCCCTTTTGCAGTGACAGAAGTTATAATTTAGTGATGCTCCCTAAGAGAAGACTACAGAAGTTGGAAGATGATCCCTGAGCTAGCTAGTTAGTGTGAAACACAAACCAAGGGTCTGCAGAGGTTGTCTGCTGCTCCACAGATAAAGCTGTAGGGTTGTTGGTTGTAGTCATGTTGGTCTAAGGACATAGGCAAGCAAAGTTCTTTGGGTAAATGTAATATCTTTTATTAGACCAACTAAATAGTTGGGGAAAAGTTCTTTGCAAGCTTTCTGGCACAAACACCCTTCTTCAGGCATTGGGAGACTTTGCAATGTCTCCCAGTACCTGAGGAGACCCTGCAGAGCTTCCCAATGCCTGAAGAAGGGTGTTTGTACCAGAAAGCTTGCAAAGAATGTTTCAGATAAAGATGGTTATTTAATTCTTCTCATTCGCATATGCCTGTGTTTACTGAACCTGATGATCACCATACCTTTCACACAGAAATCTAGCTTTGTGATTTTCAGAATAGTTGTCAACCGCTCCAATCCTGCACTTTAATCACATGGAAAACTGCTCCTATGTAAATCCCCACTGAAGTGAGGGGGGAGAATTCACTTGTGTGGAACAGCTTGTTCCAGCACACAGAATGATTAGGTCCACTTAAACACAAAACCTAAACTCAGAATCTCCTGGCCCTTCACCCATGCTTAAATCCACTAAGCAATGAGAGGAGCGGGGAAGAAAAAGAACCCCTTCCCTCATAAATTAAAAAATGAGGATACAACTTTTCAATGTTTCAAATACACCAACAGTAACCAAAGAGTGGTGAACATTTTTGAAATCTTGTAAACTTGCTCCAGTTTTACAGAGGATTCTCAGACAAAAAAAATCAAGCAAAATTTATCAGACGTCAACCCCTCTGCCTTGAAACAACAACAGCCCCACCACACTTCTGATTAATATTCTGACCAGGTGGAGGCAAATGAAAATATACAGATGAAGGCAAAAATACTCCAGAAGAAGATAAATCATTGTGAGATATGTGTTTATAGGGTGCTCACTGCTAGGTACATGGGTGTTTTATATTCCATTTTAAATCAAGCAACTCCCATATGACAAAATTAAATAATCTAAATGGAACTGTTAAGGCCAAAGTCCTGAGCCAGCAATGGGACAACCTGTGTGTGGTAATGCTACTGAGACCTAAAGTCATGCCAGAGATCTAACTGGACAAGTACGCCTGACAGTCAGAAGGTGTGTACTGGAGATAGGTTCAGGCAACCTGCTGGGGGGGCGCTCTAACTATGGTACTTTATGCAAAGCGCTATGAGTTAGAGTGCCATTGTACTCTGCTGGGCTGGGGGAGGGGCTCGGAGTCTGCCTGCACTGGCCCAGGCCAGAAGCAGGGCATGCCTGGACCACCCCTCTCTCTGGCCCTGCCCCTCTGCCAGGTGGCAATTGTAAGCAGAGGCTGGGGAGGAAGGGGGTAGGAAAAGGAGGTCTTGGGGCGGGGAGAGGGAGAAGCCAGGCCCAGTCTACACAGCAGGGGGGGGCTCCTTTCTCCCTGCCCCTACCCAAGCATCTTGATAGCAGCAGAGGTTGTCGTGCTCAGAGCTGGGGCAGGAGGGGAAATGGAGCCCCCCCCACCTCATGGGCCCAGCCCAGCTACCCGCACTGAGGTCTTCGGGGTAGCTGGACCAGGCCTGTGTGGCAGGGTTGGTTACATTTTCCTCCTCCCCCTGCTCCAGCTCTGGGCGCAGCAGCCATGAGGATAACATTTTCAAGAGTCTTGTGCAGGGAAAGGAACAGAGCCTCCCCACTGCATGGGCCAAGCCCAGTTCCCCCTGCTGGGGTCTTGCGCCGGGGGGGGAGGGGGGGGGCAGAACTGGGCTGGGTGTGCGAGGCAGGGGGGCTTCATTCCCCCCCTGCCCCAGCTCCAGGTGTGGCAGCCATGAAGGTACTTCTGTCAAGATACTCACATGAAGGGCTGGGAAGGAGGAAGGGAGCCCCCCCCCCCATGTGGGCCAAGCTTGGCTCCCCCCAAGACCCCAGCAGGGGGAACCAGGATGGGCCCATGCAGCAGGAAGGCTCTGCTCCTTCCCCTGAAGGGGTAGCTGGTGGGAATGTGTGGTAGGGGGCTCCCTCCCACACCTGCTGTATGGGGAGGAGACAGAGCTTTTCTGTCTCTTCTCTGTGAAAGTCCTGGCGGTGGGACTGGACTGGTGCTCACCAGTGAAAACACCAGCCCAGCCCCAAGAAGTCACATGGGATGTGGGCAGATTCACCCCAAAGTAACCCTTGTTGTGCCTTAGAGCACCCCTGTCTGATACTACATCAGATGAGGGTTAACTTCTCAGTGCTCAGTCAGACTGAATTTAGATAATCCAGATGGCCAAACCTAATTGGCTAGGAATTGTGCATATTCAGAAGTGTAACTGGGTAATTCTGTGCTTTGCATGGCTGTCACACATGGGACAATAGCAATAGCTGAGCTGACACTGGCAGCAGCTGCTATTTTTGCACTCACCCTATATCAGTGCCTGTGACCAGTGACCTGCTCACCCCTTGCCTTAATTATTCTGTAGGTCATAGATGCAATGAAGGCCTTGTTCCAGCCTGGTTTAGTTTAACATAAATAAAAGCCATGATACCACATTTGTAGTAAAATTATGAAAGTAGGATTGTGTAACATAGTGAGCATGTGCTGTAACTAATGTTGGTATGTTCCTATAATGTAAGAAAATAAATAGCAATTGGTTCAGCACAAAAATGTAACCAAATTGGAAAAAACTGTATTAGGTATATAATCTGTGGTCAAGTTGTATAAAATCAAACTTCCATGAGCTCATCCATGAAAGAACAAATACATCAATGAAAGTTCCTGGAGGAGCATTCTTCCTTTGAATCCAAGTCTACATAAGTACTGTCCTTGTTGATGTAAATAAGCCATTTCTATAGTGTATCCCAATAAAGCTTTTGATAATCAGAATAATCTTGTGCATCATGAGTCTCATTCTCAACCCTCTAAAATTCTCATGTAACAATTGACGTCCCTACCACTTCTGACCCACAGCCCCCTACCACCCCCAAAGAGTGAAACAATCAGTGTTGAAAGGTTTAAGGGACCCATGGAAAAGGGTTGTAACCTGCTCTGTGGGGTAGATTGTGCAGACCCTGTTAGGCTCAGGACAACCTAAGGAATATCTCCTCCTTCGGTTAGTGGGCTTGATGGAGTCAGTGGAAAAAAAAAAGCGTTGGAGACGGAGAACTGAGTCATAGACAAAACAGCTCTGAGTTTTTGGGATAAGGACACTGTAACAGGGAGCTTAGCGCTCCTGTTATTTTAAGAGGAGAAAGGCTGCAGAGAGGGCT